GAATGCCCAAGGAGCAACGGCTGCTGAAAAGCCCTACACTGGTCATGGGCAACACCGGTGTAAGGGAAGAGACCTCGCTCCAAGAAGAGCAGAGAAAAGCACGGGGGATGGCAGACACTCCCCATACCAGAAGCTTACATACTGGATCATGGCAAGTAAATTAACCCAGAGAGAGAGGTATGTGGATCAGCATCAGGGGATGCAGCAGGACACAGGTTCTGGGGCAGAGCCAGTATACTAAGGCAGTTCAGCCCGATATTTCTCTTTTTTGTGTAGCTGCCTTTTCTTTTTCCCTTTCTTTCTTTCTCTCTCTCTGGTGTCCTCCCTTTTGTTTCCTCCTGACTGGTGCCCATTCCTCAGTTGTCTCCGGTTTTATTTTGTTGTTTTATTTCACTTGCTTGCAACTCTTCATTGAGAGATCCGGGCAAAGGTTGTACATCAAAGAATTGCCCACAAAAAATGACAGACGACTGGCAGAGAGCAGAAAAGACCTGCAGGAGAGGGGAACATCTACCGGACTCAGGGTCCATTGGGAAGACAAGGAGTAGACCCAGTACCTGAGATCAAGTGATGGGTGAGTCTCATCAAGACCAGAGGGGCGACTGCACTAAGATCAGGTGGCCAGTCGGAGGCTGGCTTATGGAAGGGGTGTAGGGGAGGTGGAGCCCTACGAATATCTGTCGGGTGGAACAACCAACCTTGAGGGACCACCAATGGGAGACCCCACCGCTGAAAAAAACACTCAAAGTCATGGCAGGTGAGTTCTGGGGCCTTCCCTAGGGTGATTGGGGCCCCTGTCAGAGGTTGCACAAAGCCTCCCACATCCACCACCAGGCGCCCATGCCAGGGCAGCACGTGAATGAACACTTGAAGCAAGACAGGCACAGTCCCTAACCTGTTCTTTCACCACTGAGGGCTGCTTACCTCCTCCCAAAATGGTGCTGCCTGGTGCAGTAGTCTGGCAGCTGACCTTGCCTATGAAGACTGAGGCAAAGAAGGCATTGAACGCCTCAGCATTTTCTGTATTCTCTGTCACAAGGTTGGCTCCCCTATTCAGTAAGGGACCTACACCTTCCCTGATTCTCCTCTTACTACTGACATACTTATAGAAAAACCCTTCTTGTTATGCTTCACATCCCTTGCTAGCCTGAAACTCCAATTGCACTTTGGCCTTCCTGACTTCATGCCTGCTTGCCTGAGCAATGCTCTTATAACTCCTCCCTATTTCTTTGTTCATGTTTCCAGTTCTCATAAGCTTCCTTTTTGTGACTTAGTTTACTGAAGAATTTCCTCCTAAACCAAGCTGGTCTTCTGCCATACTTGCTGGTCTTCCTATGCATTGGGATGGTTTGTTCCTGCACTTGTATGATGATAAGGCTTTTTTAAAGTGCAGACATCTCTCCTGGACTCTTCTTTCCCTCAGACTGGCTTCCCAGGGGATCCTGCCCATGAGTTCCCCGAGTGAGTCAAAGTCTCCTTTTCTGAAGTCCAGGCTCCTTACTCTGCATCCTTCCTTTCCTCAGGATCCTGAACTCAATCATCTTGTCACTGCTGTCCAAGTTGCCATCCATCACTACATTACCCACCAATTCTTCCCTGTTTGTGAGCAGCAGGTCAAGAAGAGCATGGCCCCTAGTTGTCTGCTCCAGCACTTACACCAAGAAGTTGTCCCCAACTCTCTCCAAAAACTTCCTGGATTGCCTGCGCACTGCTGTATTGTCCTCCCAGCAGTTGTCAGGATGATTTGAAGTCTCCCATGAGAACCAGAGCTTGTGATTGGGAAATTTCTGCTAGCTATTTGAAGAAAGCCTCATTCACCACTTCCTCCTGGTCTGGTGGTCTATAGCAGACCCCAACCATGACATTACCCTTGTTGGTCTCTCCTGTAACCTTAACCCAGAGACTTTCAACAGGCCTATCTCCAGTTCCATACTGGATCTCTGAACAATCATACAGGTCTTTTATATAAAGAACAACTCCTCCTCCTCTTCTCCCCTGCCTGTCCTTCCTGAACAGTTTGTACCCATCTATGACAGTGCTCCAGTCATGTGAGCTATCCCACCAAGTCTCTGTTATTCTAGTCGTGTCATAGTTCCATGACTGTGCAAGGACTTCCAATTCTTCATGCTTGTTTCTGAGGCTCTGTGCATTCGTGTATAGACACTAGTCAATTGACCCGATTTCTCAGGAAGTATGAGAGCACCTCCCCTGTTGCCCCCTCCTGCTTGCTCTTCCTCCAGGTCTCCTTCTTCCCCACTTACCTCAGGGATTTGGTCTCCATCCCCTGGCAAACCTAGCTTAAAGCCACTAGGTTAGCTGTTCCCTGCCAGTGCTCAGCCATTCCTCATAGAACAAAATATTGCCTTCACTGGGAGTTATCCCTGCTAAGGATTACATGAATGAACTCTAAGCAGTTCATACACAGACTGGCTGAAATTAAGAAGTCCTGAATGAATATACTACCTAAAGTTCATAAATGAAGTAAATTAATCTAATATTAGAGTTATTATATACTGGTATTAAAACAGATGCAACAGACTTTAAATACCACTTAATTCATCTTCCTAATGAAACTGTATACACAGCTTAACCAACAATATCCACCACATCCAACACTTTCAAGGGCTTTATAGCAACAAACAGCTGAATCTGACAGAAAATACCATGTCTGTGCACATTTTGTGTCATTCATTTGTATATAGTCCTACACCTTTTAAATGTTACTACCATGATTCCTCCATCTACAGTTTGGCATGTGCATTACGTCCCTCTGGAATGAAAGGTAATATGACAAGTAAAGAGTTAAACTGCAAAGCCAAAACAGAAGCTCCATGAAGTCGTAAAAAAATCTTTTTCCAAAAAAGGTTATAAGGACAAGCAGTATATACACTGATTGGCAAACATAAATCTTAAGCATTTTAAATGTTCCAAAATATATATCAGTCTTGAACTTTCAAACTAAGCATAAGCCTACGGATCATTGAGGATGGCAGGGAATCTGATAACCTTGGGAACATAATGGAAGGATGCATCACCCAGCATGATATATGCATACACTGCTTCTGTTGGCTTCACACTACCAACCAACAGTAAACCTGGAGCTCCTCTACAGCACAGTGTTTGAAGTGGGGTGGGGCTAAGTCATACAGTAATCACATATTACCTTTTAATAAGATGTGTCTATGTTATGATAAAGCAACAACTGACTGTCCAGTTCAGTCATTCTCAGCCAGGGTGCAATGGTGTGCCACACAATGTTAGTACCATTAGGTGTGCAAACGTGATTCTCAAGGTATGATTCACAAGATAAATCCAGAGGTTTCAAATAGGAAGCCATAGTGTTAAAAACATCCAGACCTATTGTGATCTTTCTGAGTTCTTTGCGGCAGAAGAATTGCTCTAGTACTGTATTTTTTTGTTTTAAAAAACCAAGTGAAAACTAAAAGCTGGCATTTTCTGAGGGGTCTTCCTGCATCTAAAAAGGTTGAGAACCACTGGTCTAGTTCCTAAAGCAGTTTCTCAACCCAAAGGCAGAAGACAAAGTTGTTGAGAAGTGATTAAGTGGATTGCTTTCCAGCATAGCAAAACTTGTCACTGGAAACAGCAAGCTTAACTGTGGTTGTGAATTTACAAGCTTTATCCCCACTGTAACCTCAATGTTCCTGTATGTATTTAAATGCAGTCATGCTTTATAGAGAAAAAAAGAGACAAATGCATCCTCCACTAGAAACAGATGAGCTACATAAAATTGCAAACATTATGGGAAACCATTTCCCTCAAGAAGGCTGAATTTACCCGTGCTGAAAATCCCCAACACCTTTTTTTGGTGCAGTTCTGAAACATACCGTCTCTCTGTGAAATGGATGCAAGTGATTTTTGCCTCCTCAGCCCTTCAAGACTCAAGTTCCCTTACTACACAACTACTTTTTAACTATTGCTTGGGCAAGTCACACAGAACAGATCTGAAACTCATTCCATGGATTTCTCTCTTTACATTCTCAGAGGTGACTAGCTCTGCACCTTGGAACTGGTGGTTCTACTTGAGATCCCGGGTAACCCTCACTTTGCTCCACCACAGACTTCTATGCATGACACTCTTAAGGTGCAGAGTTTTTTACCCTTCCCAATAGCCATGAGACAGTGATCCCATAAACCCTTATGTCCCTGACACAGTAGTCACACACGCAGGCACAAAGTTTAGCCAACTGCCACCCTCCATAGACCCAAATACAGTAATTAGGGACTATCCTACCCAGTAATAAGAAAATACCCTTTACTGTATTACAGCCAATGAAACCATCCTACCTTGGCTCTGGGCTGGGCTGTTGGCAGGTTTGCAGAAGGCAGCTAGGTCTGCCCGGCGTGCTTGAAGCTTACGCCTATTTGCTGGCTTCTGGGCAGCCCCCATCTTGCAGTTTCTTTTTTCCCTTGTGCTGCTACCTGGCTGGAATCTCATACGTGGAGTCCAGCCACCTCCTGCAGCCTGCAAGGTACAAGCTGGCCACATGCTATGGGCACAATCTTGGCATTTAAAGGTTTCTGCCTAATAATCCTGATTCCAGCAGTAAGACACACCTTTCTCCTTCAGCAGGCAAGGTAGTGTGATAGCTGCTTTCCTTTCACGTGGTACAGATGACTGCTGCTGTTGCTGCTGCTCCAGGAAAGGTTATTCTGTTGTGGATCTCTGTAGGGAACTTAATTCTAACAGGGGGATACCATAGACTACAGATCTGCAAAAAGGACAAGAAAAGCTCTGTTCCTTCTAACAACCTTCTCTGTAGAAAATCCTATTTACAAGGTCCATAGAATGAATGATGCCCATAATAAGGTTATCTAATATAATCCAGGCACAGTTCTCTGGCTTGATTAGACAGAGCAGCTGTTGAAAGATCCAGCTGTGTTCTTACAAAAGCAGTATGTGGGCAGAGAAAGAATAATTAGGCAGGACCTTTTCTCATAGCTCAAATCCCCATGTAGGGAATGTCACCAAGGAAGTTTTATTTTTGTATTACCTACTGGTATTTGGTTAGTTCCCTGTGAGACCTTTGAAGTTTAATTCATCAATAGCGTAAGTCCCTTGACTTCAAAGGCACTATACAAACTCTGAATTTTGTCCCTAATGCTCCCAGCCACAAGCTCTGCAATTTATTCCTTTCAGATTTTGCAGTTAGAAAATGTGTTGCTTACTTTATTCTGAAACCGTATTATGGATATTCAGCTATTGGCTAACAAAGCTGATTGGTCCTTAAGAAAGGAAGGATTTTAGTAGGACCAGAGAATTTTCTTCAGCTTCTCTACTGCCTGAATTTCTGCTCTCTGTCTTACCACAGACTTCAGTGAGCTGTGAACATTTTCCTAAGATCAGCATTTGGCTCACTGCTCATATAGGCAAGATATGGCAACCATACTCTTTGGCTGATATCTTCAAAGCAGTCCTGGGGACTTGAACACTTAATTTTTGTATCTCCTGACGTCTTTATCTACTTAGAAAAACTCAACTATTTTTGTTCTATACAACACACCAACAGCATTTTCAAATAGTCTCTTTATAAAGAATATTGTGTAACCAAAAATACAGGGAAATGGTTTTGGTTGAAGCTACAAGCCTTTAGTTAAATGCATAAACATTTATATATATGTTCAAGAGTGGATCCAGGGGAGGTCAGTGATGTAGCTGGTACAGCTTTGATTCCTGCTCCACCCAAAATTTAAAAATAAATGCCTGGCAGTGGCAGCAGCATTTCTATTCAGGGAGTCAATTGACTTCATGGCACATTAAAATCTACCCAATTCCAGCAGTTCTCAGTCTCCAGCCCATGGGCCAAATGTGGCCCATGGAACTATCACATCTGGACCACAGGGCTTTCTACAGGTCCAGAAATTTGGCAGTGGGGGAGCAGTGACAATTAATACCGCCACCTCCTCTCCTACCAAATTCCCAAACCTCAAGGCTTGCACAGTGGGTTGGAGCTGGGCCATGCCCCACAGCTGGCCAATCCCATGGCTGGATTGGGGCCAGGCCACGCTTCCTCCCATTGGCAGTATGCTAAATTAAATGATATATAAAACTTCAATTTACTGTGAACTGATATCTATAATTATAGGTCACCTTTTTATCATAAAGGCCAGGTACAGACATTACACTTTTACTGGTATAAGTGATCAGAAGCTGTTCTATAACCCTAACAGAACAGAAGTTCTGCACTCACAGACTGATTTAGCAATGGTGGAACCCAGTCTAAGATTTGCCTCCCCCCCTCCACCCCTCCTCCAACCAAAGGGCGAATGTGTGTTCTGTTTGCTACTGATCTATTTGAAACTATACCACTTACAGAAAACTTAGATTGATTCTTCCTCGGGCTTTTTGAATGTCTGTACTTAGCCAAAAAGGTATTTTTCCCCTCAGAATATTTCACATATGTGAGCTAAATTTAACCAAATACTAGAGATAGCTAAAACTTTGAATCATAGAAAAATAAGGGACTTCAGAACGTCATCCAATCCAAGCCCCGGCTCAGGACAGGCTCATCTCTGTGCCATCCCAGCCAAATATTTTTTTCTCGCCTCCATTTAAAAACTTCTAGTGACAGAGATTACACAATCTGTGTAGTTTTCTGTGCCAGTGCTTAATTACTGTCATATTTATTAAGCTCTTCCTAACACCTACCTCTTATTTTTTCCTTATTATAATTTAAGCCCATTACTTCCCATATGGATAAAAAGAATAACTGATTGTTGTGCGGGCCAACTCCCAATCTCGCCTGGGTCGCCATGTGCGAGCTGTCTTCCAATCCCATTTGGGTCGCCATGTGCGAGCCGGGTGCGAGCCGGGCCCGTCTATTGTGTGTACACAGGCTGTGGCCGGTAGCCCGGGTACACGGGGTTGGAAAAAACTGCGGTGCGGTTTGGTACGCTCGAGCTAGAATCAGTCACGGAGGCGTAATGGTTGATTGAAAAGATTATTTACTTACACCCAAGGTGGTCGCGGTGTAGGCTGGTCAGCTTTCCAGGCTCAGCTCCGCTTGAGTTCTCGGTGGAGGACTCTAATA